CTTACTTGTTGGAGAATGATGTTTCCTGGATTTCATGTCTGACACAGCAAGGTGCTGGGAGAGAGTCAGCCATCCCTCAGACTTGGGGAGGCCCTCCAGGCTGAATTCACCTCCGGAGAAAGCGAGGGAAGGGGACAGATGTCCCCAGAGCTCATCAGAGGAGGTGACCGTGGTCACTGTTTCTGCCAGCAGTAAGAGTCCTTTTCAGCTGTGAGTTCTTGTCAACAGATTGGAGAAAGAAGGTGGAGTGTATTATTTTCTAATTTCAGAATTACGTATTGAGATGGACAGCCATTCAGTGAGCAGTCTCAGTATGGAAGGAAGGCAAACTGTGCCGTATTTCAAAGTGGACCCCACGTGGGCTCCCATGTTGTACTTTTTGGAGCCTTTAATAGCACGAATGTTATTTAAAAGAGCCTATTTGGAGGAAAATAAGAAGCATTCCACGTTTTCAAAAGTAGTTAAGATTTGTCCAAGACCACACAAGTGAGCAAGGTTGCCTCTTTTGTCATACTTGATGTTTGTATTTGACGTCAGTGTTTGATGCTTGTCATCACTCTTGACCCTCACCGTGATCTCCATGTGCATGTCGAGTGTGATGGCCCTGGCAGCGCTTGAGATGCCCCCCATTTTGCACATTGCTGCCGCTTTCGCTCTGCCCGGTGAGATGTAGACAAGAGCTGTAGGAACTGACTCCAGCAAGGGCAGTGAGAGCCTCCAGTACTTCATTTGTCCTCTTAACCCTGTGCCTAGGAATTGACTAACCTGGCTTTGTGGCAGCAAATAAAGTAACTTTTAATTTCCTTTAGTTTAAAAAATAACATTCAGATTGCAGCCCTTCGGAAATAAGGAGCAGAAAAGGCTGAGAGAGAAAAGAAAAGAATGAAAACACAAGTGTGGACAGCCCTGATGTGATCACCGCACAGTGAGAGGTTCTTTTCCTCCTTTGTGGGACCGTGCAGGTCGGCGGCCTCCACCGCTCCAGAGGCCCCCGGGGCAGTGCCCCACTGGAACGCCGTCTGCCTTGTGGCTCCTCCGCAGAGACCCCTTACCAGCCAGTCAGCCCCCTGTAAAGCCAAGTTCAATCTAATTTAAGGACACAAATTGACAAAGCAGGTTTGTTTATTGCAGGGTAGACTTATTAACTTAGAAAAGCCATGAGCCCTGGTCTTTCTGTTTACAGAAATAAAATGGAACTCTAAATGAGGTTTAATGGGCTTCCCAGATCATGTTCCCTGGACAGATTTTTTTTTTTTCCTTTTTCCGTAAATTTGAAAATCAAAAGGACTGAAAAGAAAGGGGAGTGCTTCCTGTTATGAATAGGACTAGTGGCATTCTTCATAGCATTTTATAGCCTCTAACTGTGCATTATAATTTCAGAGTAGCCAAAAAGCATTCCAAGTTTTCAAAAGTGGTACATTCACTCAGAAGCATTTATCAAGCATGTACTATGTGCTGGGCGTTGCGACAGGCCCAAAGGTGGCCCAGAGGCCTGTGCACTCCCCAGACTTGCATGATACTGTAAATAATACAACAGACTAGCGGAGAAGGACGTGGCAGTGCAGAGAGCAGTGGAAGCTGGGAAGACTGCAAGCCCGACTCTGAGAGTGGCCGGTGGGGGCACGTTGGAAGCTGGTCTCTGGGCTGCAGAGGTGAGCTGGGAGATGTGGATGCGTCAGATCACTCAGAGTGAACCCGGGCCTGCTGGATGAGCTATGGCCGCAGCAGTGCCGTCTAGTGTCACAGCAGACTTCCTTTGCCCCCGTCTGCTGGCCCCAGCATAACTTTCTTGTTAAAAGGCTGAAGGCTACTAGGACATACCTGAGACTTTGTAGTGTCATCGGGAGACGGAAAGACAGTGAGCTGTAGTGTATGAACAGAAGGGCACCATGCCAGTCAATGCAACAGTGGCAAGCAGAGAGAAGGAAAAACCCAAAGTAATATACAGGTCAAGCCTCCCCTACCCAAGATGCTTGAGACCAGAAATGTTTCAGATTTCAGATTTTTTTTTCAGTTATTAGGATATTTGTATTATACTTAACTGGTTGTTTCCCAAATCTGAAAATCCAAACTCTGAAATGCTTCAGTATCCCAAACTTTTTGAGTGCTGACATGACCCGCCCACGGCCCCCTGCCCCCGCGCGCACGCGCACACACACACTCATGTGCACGCACACACACAAAATGCTCACTGCAGCAGTTCAGAGTTTGGATTTTTGAATTTGGGATACTGAATAAGTATCTGTATTGATTGTTGCTGTTGGAAAGATCAAAATTGAATTTGACATGATTGGCTAGAATTTCACGTACACTGGATTCCGTATTTGTGTATAGTCATCTGCTTATAATTTTTAAATGTTTAAAAATAAAGCAACGAAAGCAGCTACCAGAAGGAGCCCTATGTGCTTTTCTAAGCATGGTGACGAGCGTGCACCAAACTGAATCCTGGCTCCGGGACTGCCGTGGAAGACAGCGGGGGCCGTTCCTGTCTTTGGTCTTGATGGTCTTTGGTGGTGGCACTGCGGCTCTCGGAACCAAGTTGGGTGAACTGGCCCATCCGCTCTGTCTCGCTCCTGTAGCCACGTCTGCTCAGGCCCTGGTGGATGCAGCTGATTTTCCAGGCACAGATTTTCTTTAAGACACTGGTTTTCAGACGCTGTCTCCGGTATTGGGGTACTCTAAAGACACAGTACCCCTTTTTAATGAGTCTGACTCAGGATGAATGCCAGAGCATGTTTCTTTGTATAGGGGAATTTGACCTGCAGAGGGAGGAATAAGGACCAGCGTTTAGGAGCACCCCGGATTTTCTGGTGGGGCCGTGCTAAAGCTGGCCCCACCCACTCACAGGGCCATTGCTCACCTTTTGCTCATCTCTGTGTTGAACGACGTCGTATTGGTGGATGCTGGGGGCAGACACCGGTACCACCGTGTATGCTGTGCTCTGGGAGCCGTAACGTGGACACCCGTTCTAGAGCAAGGATCAGCCAACCGCAGCCTGAGCCTGTGCAGCCCACTGCCTGTTCTTGTAAATAATGTTTTATCCAAAGGCAGCCATGCCATTCCCACGTATTTACTTGTTATCTAAGGCTGCTTTGACCAAAAAGCCAAAAATGCTCAACATCTGGCTCTTGAAAGAAAAAATTTACCAGCCTGTGTTCTAGAGTTTACCAGGACTCTGGTTCTGAAACATGAAGATATCTTGAATTAAAAAGAGATTAGGGGTCAGGCTCATGCCTGTAATCCCAGCACTTTGGGAGGCTGAGCCTAGGAGTTTTTTTATTTTTTATAGAGACAGGGTGCCACTATTATCCAGGCATAGTGGCACGCACCTGTAGTTCCAACTACTTGGGAGGCTGAGGTGGGAGGATCACTTGATCCCAGGATTTGGAAGCTGCAGTGTGCCACGATCATGCCATTGCACGGCAGCCTGAGCGGCAGAGTGAGACTCTGTCTTTAAAAAGATTATTTTTAAGAAGAGATTAGAGTGGTTCAAGTTGTGAGGAAGCTTCAGCAGCTTTTCTATTTCCAAGAAAAAAGCAATCAAATAAGGGGGAGCCCCCTTCACCGTATCCTAGTTAAAATTATGGACATAGAGACGTGCCCGTTGTCATGGGACCTGTGTTCCGAATCCGAGGTGTGGTTTCTGAACGGCCCTCCTGGGCGTGTGCCATTTTTCTAGCGTTGCGGGAAGTCGGAGGAGCAGGCTCCCCTCCGCACTGTGTTTCTGAGCCTTCGGAGTTCAGCTCCACGGAACCTCTTGGGTAGTGTGTGATAAGTTTCCTGCAAAGGCAGAAGTGGCGTCTGGCTGGGGCTGAGGCTGGGCCAAGGCTCAGGGTTTGCAAGATTCCCCGGTGCCTGTCCCTGGGGCCCCTCGCAGGAGACGGCCTGAAAAGCCCCAGCTCTTCCCAGGCCCTTACTGCTCCTGGGGCTCCCCTGCTCCCTCTGCTGTCCTGCTGCGAGTCTCAGACCCGGCCCAGGCTTTTCCTCAGCCAAGTGGTTCCTACCTCCTGTCTGGTGCCAGCCTAGCCTGTCTGTGGCGCTCCCTGCACGCTGGCGCTCTTCTGACCCCCATCCTGGGGAGCTGGAGCTGGAGTGGGGTCCGGTCAGAGCAGTTTGCCTGAGCCGACAAGGGTCCAGCCTGGAGCATCGGGCTCTGGAAGCCGAGCTGGTGCGCAGGTTTTCACACTGTGGGGGAGTCAAGACACAGTGGGTCATGAAATCAATCTAGTAGGTCACCAACCAGCATTTTAAAAAAGGAAAGAAGAGGCCAGGCGCGGTGGCTCACGCCTGTAATTCCAGCAGTTTGGGAGGCTGACGTATGTGGACCATTTGAGGTTAGGAGTTCAAGACCAGCTGGGCCAACATGGTGAAACCCTGTCTCTACCAAAAATACAAAAAAATTAGCTGGGCCTGGTGGCACATGTCTCTGTTGCCAGCTACTCGGGAGGCTGAGGAAGGAGAATCGCTTGAACCCGGGAGGCAGAGGTTGCAGTGAGCCGAGATCGCACCACTGCACTCCAGCCTGGGCGACAGAGTTAGACTCGGTCTCAAAAAACAAAACGAAGAGAATAAAAATACCAGACTGCATTGCGTGTAGTGAGGGAAAGCGTTGGAAAAGAACACTTTGATTTCAGTGTGTGTCTGTGTGTTCTAGAGATGCACATTTGTGGATACGTCTGCACACACAAGTATGCGTACGTGTTTGTACTGACCATCACTCTGCCCTGCACCATTTCCCGGTGCCTGTCGTGCAGTTGGCTGCCATGAACGTGCTTGGGATCAGTGAGCCCCATCCTCATAGCCAGCATCTGTGTGTGTGCTTCCTTCCACGTGCCTTTTGGATACCCAGACTGCATGTCTGCTCGGGCCTCCCAGGTGGCTCAGGCCTGTACCACAGACATACCCCGTTCTACCCCAGTGAGTGGTCTCTTACTGGGGTAGGGTCCACGATCCTGGAACCATTACTTGGATTCCTTGAGAATTTTAATTCTCTACGTCAGATATGTGCCTGCTGTGAATTGGCCTCCACATACCTGCCCTTCATTCCTCTCACCCTGGATTCCAAGACCCTCCCACCTGCACCCAGCCTCGAAGATCCAGCCGTGTGGAGCACTCCTGGGAGAACGTTGAAATCTTTGCTGTCATTACCCTGTGTTCGTGGAGGCTGTGGAAACCTGAAAAGTGCTGCAGTCCCTTCCAGCAGGGTAAGTGGCACCTGTGTTAAACCGCATCTGTACACTGAGTGAGGGCAGCACCCTCATTTTTTTCTGTGTAGCGTGCCCCATAAGCAGAAAACTTTGCAAAGCAGATTTTCAAAGTAATTTTTATTGGACTAAAGTATTCAGGAGTGCACACCTGTGTGTTGTGCAAGTCAGCTTCACTGTGATGACATGGAAAGGATCCAGAGACCCAGATGCCCCTTCTTGCGAGACTGTGCTAATTTATTCCATATGTGAGCTCTCGCCCATTTCCGGCGGCCAGGAGGCCAGCCAGGCCCAGGCCATACCTGCTCTTCCCCCTCCCAGGCCACCTGCTTGTCTGCCACTCAGCGTCAGCACCAGCAGCGGCAGAGGGAAGAGATGAGCACGTCCTTGGTAGGCGAGGTGTCGGGTACTTGAGAGGCTGGCACCAAGGCAGAGGCATGGGTGCTGCAGGTGTCCAGGACCCTGTGCTCGTACTGCCACGGGGTGTCCAGGACCCTGTGCTTGTACTGCCACGGGCAGCTCTGGTCTCACTTCTCCGTGCCGTGTCCCTGTTTCCCTTCTGCCGTCTTGTTCTTTCTCCACTTGCCCACTCTCCTTCCCTCCCACACCTACTTGATCATTTTCCTCCCTCGCCCCGTTGGTCAGGGTCTGGGGTCTGTGTAAGACTGAAATATGTGCCGACTCTAGGCTCTCGGTGATTCCTGACATGCATTCGGAGTGACTTGATGAATTTTAGTCACGGTTTTAAAGGCCCTTAAATTTTTCAACTATATTAAAAAATGTGAATATTTAAAGTGTACCATTTGATTACTTCTGACATATGTACCCATGAAACATTAAACATAAATGAAGAGAACTGAGAAGCCATAGTAAGAAGAAAATAGATAAACTCAGCTGTATGCAATTAAGAAATACAAGCAAAGCCACCATGAACAAAGTCAGAAAGACAGATCAACAAACCTGGACAAAGCTGCAGCTTTATCGGAGACGAGCTGATTTCCCTGGTGTTCAAACACTCAGCAGGTTAACTGGAAAAAGCCAGTGATCCAGTAGGAAAAACATGGGAAAGAGTATGAATAGACAGTTACTAGAAAGGATTTTATGCGCATGAAAAAACTGCTGGGGCGTGGTGGCTCACGCCTAGAATCCCAGCACTTTGGGAAGCTTAAGGTGGGAGGATGGCTTGAGCCCAGGAGTTTGAGACCAACCTGGGCAAAGAGACCCCATTGCTGCAAAAAGTAATTTAAAAAAAGATTAGCTGGGTGTGGTGGTACACGCCTGTAGTCCTAGCTGCTTGGGAGGCTGAGCCCAAAGGATCGCTTGAGCCTGGGAGGTGGAGTCTGCGGTGAGCCACTGCAACCTGGATGACAGAACAAGGCCCTACCTCAAACAAACAAAAGAAAAGAAAACAGCCATACTCAACTGGTAATAGAATGCCTAAGCTGCCCGACGGGAATGGGGGCTCCCTCGTTCCTCCTGCAGCCCCTCCCAGGCTCCAGCTGTCTCTGTTGCAGAAACAGCCTCCCATCTCTTCAGGCCGGTGGGTAGCTGCCGCTTCCATGGTCTCTGGTACTTCACCGTACCTGGCTGGTGTCCATAATACTGTCCCCAACCTCCTAATTAGTCCCTTCCTCAAGTTCTCTCTCAATTAAAAAACGAAGGACCTCATGGACACCATTTTTCACTTATCAAAAGTTTGATGATTCAGTAGTGGTGATGGTTCAGGAAAGTGGGGTCTCACGTCGATTTTGGCAGGAGTGTAAATTGCTACACCCTCATGGAAGGCAATTTAGGAGTCTCTCAAAGTGAAGACGTACACCCTGATCCGGACACGCCACGTCTGGGGAGTAGCACCCAGCTACGCTCGGGGCACGGGCTGACCGCACCTCGTGTTACATTGCATCAGAGGTGGTTTGTCTTTCCTGTTAGGATGTGAACAGTGTCTGCCTGTCAGGGTCTCGCTAATCATAGAAATATGTGGAGTATCACAGACGACCCTGCAACCATTAATACAGGGAATGGGAAGTCTCTGCCTGCACTCACGAGAATCCTAAGTCAAGATATTCTGTTAATATCAGTGTAATTGTGTAAAGTAAATCTGTATTTTTATCAGGGTACAGAGGAATGCAATCCATGAAGTTATCTTTGTTAGAAGGAAAAGGAAAAACACATTGTGTGTAAAACACGTTGGCACAGTGGCCACCTCCACAGTAGGGACTGAAGACAGTCCCTGGGGACAGGGATGAGGGGAAGGCCTTACAGTATCTTGTGCATTAATCAGAAAAAAGAATTCTAAAAAGCCGGGAAATAGAAACTGACTTGTTTTGGGGTGTGATTCATTTGCTGATCAGTGTCTGTCTGGTTGGGTCTAAAATGAAAGTTACATTTTTCCCCCATCCCTATCCCCAGCTGCACTTTGTCCCGTCTCCTAGGGAGCCAAGCCCTTACCCTAATTTCAGATTTAAAGTTCAGATCTCCAGTGCAGTCTAGGCTTGGGGTAGCCTCTGGCTGGGGAAGGGTCTGATGAGGTTCTCCTGCCGCCTTCCAGGCCTGGGGAGGAGTGGGGGAGGGGACACACTTTCTTAGCAGGTCCCTCTGACCCCCACAGCTGCTCACAGCTGGCTCTCCCCAGGAGCCCGGGTCATGCGCTCCTGCCAGCATCTGCTTTGCTAGGCCCGGGACAGCACAGTGCTGTGGCTCTGGGGGAGCCTGGGCCCGCCTCCGGCACTCCCCCGGCTCCCAGACGGGGTGGGAGCAGAGAGGCAGCCAGTCAGTGTGGCTTTCACCCCTCAAAAGCAGACCCCTTCCTAACTGTGCAGAGAAGACAACTGCTCGGGTCCACAGGGCGGCCGGTCTCCCCGCCAGGTGCTGTGGGGAGGCTGGGGACCGGAAGACACAGTGAGGGGTGCCCGCTGGTGCCAGGCACTGTCCTGGGAGCATGCAGCATTCTGTTTGTTTTTATTCTGACTGAGGACATTACAGACAGACCCGTTGACCAGCCTCGTTAATAAATTAAGAAATAAGAGCAGACCTCTAGACTGCACAGCTCTCCTCTGGGGCACACTGTGGAGCTCTGGCCCCAGCTCCCTGGCCGTGGGGCTTTCCTGCCTTCTCGCTGCGAGGAGCTTGCTGTAGGAGGCGGAGCGTCTTTCACGACCATGAAGCCCCTCGGTGGTCTGGAGACGGATATTCTGTCAGGGCTCCTTCGGAGGTACTGCCGGGCTTCAGTGAGACTGATGTCGTCCCCGCTCCCCGTGGTGACGAATGGCGTGTGAGTTGTGGGTCCTTGAGAGTTTGGGGGAGAAAAATAAGGATTTTCTTTGTTTCTCAAAGGAACGAAGAGAAGTGAAGGCAGTGCGTGAGCAGGAACTGTCTGGCCTGCGATGTCTTCTCAGCATCCTGTCGCCGAAATATTGACACACACTTAGCTCTCTGTAATGAAAAGACTTGTTGTTCGTATCTTCTCTTCGTGGGGTGGGAAAGGGAGTGGGGGTGGGAGACGGGCTTGGTCTGTCCTTCCTGGTTGCTGTTAGCCTCCAGGGGTCACAAGCCTGGGTCTCTTATGAATCTTGACAACAAACTATTTCTAACAGTAAGAAAAGTGGAAATACTGACTTCAGATTCGCGGTGAAAGCGCGTGTTTCACCCGCCATCTCCTGGACCTGCGCCAGCTGTGGCTGCGCTGCCTCCTGCCCCCACCTCCACCGAGGGCCTCGTTCTACTAGGAGATAAGCCCCAGTTGATGCTTTGTTGTTTCTGTGTGTAAATAATACGAAGGAAAGCACAGAAAGAAAAGGAGAGGCGAAACCCTCCATTCTCACAATCAAATTTATAACGTCCTCCAAGCTTTAGAATGACCGCGGTCGTGTGGTGTGGCCAGATCGGACAAGCATCGGTGGTTAGAACACTTAAAGAATACTTAGAAGCCGACAGGTCTCACCTAAGGGACCCTCCCTAAAAGCTGCCACAAGTAGGTTTCTCTTGTGCCCTTAAGAAAATGAGGCTGTCTCCGTAAGTCTCAGAGCAGCAGCCCCGTCCTCCGCTGTCCCTCCGTCCTCCGCTGTCCCCCCGTCCTCCGCTGTCCCCCCGTCCTCCGCTGTCCCCCCGTCCTCCGCTGTCCCCCCGTCCTCCGCTGTCCCCCCGTCCTCCGCTGTCCCCCCGTCCTCCGCTGTCCCTCCGTCCTCCGCTGTCCCCCCGTCCTCCGCTGTCCCTCCCGTCCTCCCTGCTGTCCCTCCCGTCCGTACGCGGCCATCCCAGCTGTCCCTCCGTCCGTACGCGGCCATCCCTCCAGATCAGACCGGCTTGCCCGAAAGCCCCTTCCACCTCGGGGAGCTGGTGCCCGTCTTCACAAAGCTCACAGCAGATGGCACCTCTGCTGGCGTGTGGACCTGGCAGATGGCACATTTAGGTGGCTGTGAGTTGGAAGAGAGATGAGGGATGGAGGCGTCCAAGGGACAGCTTGGGTTGTCCACAGCTGGGCGCAGTTTCTTCTGGTGGCTTCCTCTGGCGTGTGATGGTGAGCTGGCTTCTTTGAGCTCTGGTCACTTGTTCTTGCTGTTGGGGAAGTGGAGGGCTCCTCCTCGTATAGTCTGTTGTCAATTTCTGTTGGCTGTACAGGAAAGCACATTTTGTTGAAGGTGGAAAGATTTTGCCGCCCCAGCCTCCTTCCCGTTTGCTCTGAGGGCAGAGGCTGTCAGCCCCTCCCAGAGGCCACTTCAGTTCTTCAAAGGGCCTGGCTGCCTCCAAGCCCAGGCCGCCTGGCAGAATTCCCAAGTTAACACTGTCGCACCGGGCACTGTGGCTTGGGGGAAGGATCCTTCCGAAAGATTGGTTTCTCTCCTTCAATCTTAACTGTTTGCATGTGAACCTCTTTAGAGTAGATTAAAGGAGAGAGCCAGCTAGGTCAGTGGATGGTGATGTCCTTTACAGGGACCGTCGCCAAAATGTTGACGTTGCTTACATTTTATTATTGCCGCAAACACGTCGCTGTAGAGTATCTCCCGCTTTCACCGTCGGTAAAAACAAGGCGTGATGGAAGGAGGTTCTCCTAAAATACACGCAATCATTTCCACGTATGGCGGTGTCGGTTCGGTCATGGAGCATAGAATGGTTGACTTGGTATGACTGAGAGGGCTTTGGTGCAGTAGAGAAAGGCAGCGGACTGGATTCTGGAAAACAAATTGTAGGTGAATCTTCTTGTAGAGAAGGAACCTGCAGCGCCGAGAGATGCCGCCTGCGCCGGGGTGCGGGGAATACCTTGTGCGGGGGGCTGTGCCTGTGTCCAGAGGGCGGCCGGGGCTAGCATCGGACTCTCCCACTGTGTCTGGAGGTTCGAAGAGGGTGGGAGTGGGAGTTCCCTCCGAATTCCTGCAGGTGAGCTTCTGATGAAATCTATCTTTTAAAAGAACGGCATCCACCTTTAGCTTGTCTGTTTCCAGTACGTTGTGCGGACCTGCACGCATGTGGATACGCAGCAGGAACTATCCACCTCGGGGTGTCCTGGGCTCACTCCTTCCCCAGACTCTGAGAAGGGAGCGCTGCCGCTTCCGGGGAACGTGAGAGCAGCATCTCTGCCTCTTGCTGTGTCTGTCACACATGAGCAGCACTGAGCCGGGTCTGCTGCGGGAGCTTCGGGAGTGGTGGTTTGAAAGGGAGCGCTGACTGTCACACCCTGCAGCACGGTCGGAATGTGTGTGGAATTTCCTCGTTACACCTTGCGTTTAGTATCTGTCATCTTGCAAAATCATGTTTAAAACAGTGAAACACCTGCTTTTCCCTCTGAAGTTGCCTGGCAGCCCTAATTAGCACTGTGGCTTCTTTCTTTAAAGAGTAAACTGACCGTGCGCAGTGGCTCACGCCTGTAATCTCAGCACTTTGGGAGGCTGGGGCGGGTGGCTCACGAGGTCAGGAGATCGAGACCAGCCTGGCCAACATAGTGAAACCCCGTCTACAAAATTTAGCGAGGTGTGATGGCAGGCGCCTGTAGTCCCAGCTACTCGGGAGGCTGAGGCAGGAGAATTGCTTGGACCCAGGAGGCGGAGGTTGCAGTGAACCAGATCGTGCCATTACACTCCAGCCTGGGTGACAGAGCGAGTCTCTTTCTCAAAGAAAATAAAAAGTGAAAAAAAACTAAAAGAAAACGTAAAACTAAGTGTGTCAACAAGGCCCGTCCATTTGAGAGCACAGCTTTCTGGAATACAGAGGCTGCCGGTCGCTGGGCCCGGTGGCTGCGGTGCCTGCCCGCATGTTTCTCACTGGGCGCTCTCTTGTTCCTCCAGGTTCGCCATCGGTGGTGTGAACTCATTGTTAAGCACAAGTTCACAAAAGCCTACGAAAGTGTGGAGCGGTTCCTTCAGGAGGATCAGGTAGGTGTCATCCTGCAGCGGATGGGGGTTCCGTAAAGGCTGTCCCCTGCACTTCACACAGGAACCCACGTTCTCAGTATCTCTTTCATAACAAATAAATCTGTCCCAGAGATTCTTAAGGACTGGTAGGATCTTACCTAACACTGATACTTCTGAGCTGCTTTTTTCCTCTCTCAGTCTCTTTGAAGGATTGAGTTGGGCACCTTCAGTGCTGCCTTGTGGCCCACATGTCATCCGATGCTGCATGCTCACACTTCACGGCGTCTCCAGCACCTGCTAGGCCATGCTTGTCGCTTGGTGATGCCATGCGGTAGATCCCTGATCAGTGGCCCTCATTGAAAGTACACGTGCAAGTCAGACTGGGAGAACCCTGACGGGACAGTCGGTCTGTACCTGCACCTGCTGTGCTGTGCTAGGCAGGTTCCTCTCTGTGGGAGCTTTTCTCACTGTTCACCGGGGACAGCCGTCCCCTTCCTAGGAGCTCACAGGCAGTGCGTGTGCGGGAGCGGATCTGGGGAGACCCTCATCGGCTGCCTCGATGTCCGCAGTTTGTCAGGTCACCAACAGGTGTGTCCTGTGACACGTCACAGCCTCCCACACCCACCCCGTTTCCCCACTCTCCACTCCCTCCGCCTCCGAGTGAGTGGCCTGCCAAGCGCTGTGGGTGACAGCGTGGAGCTGCCTTCCAGCTGGGGTGGAGAGTGGGAGTGAGGCAAACAAAAGGACTTTTGATAGGGTCTCAGTGTGGGGACAGCCAGCCAGTGAGGCCCGAGGCCTCATTATTCCCACAAAGAAAAGTACATTCCTTTGTACCAGAAGAAATGTCACATTTGCACAGCAGAGCAAGAGGTGTCTGGAAAAACATACCAGGAGTAGAAGCACAGAATTTAAGAGCAACTTTAAGGTCCATTCTGAAGACCAGAAATCACTGCAGTATATTTAGAATCCTGATCTTTGACAACTAAGGATCACCATGTCTGGGCTTTTGTAGGTCAGCGCTTTTGAACCCTTCACTGCGGAGTTTAGCTCTTGCGCTGTCTTTGAGGCCCTTCGTTTAGTCGGAATGTGACTCATGGCATAGCTAAGCCTGGCACGAGGGAGTGGGCAGATCCAGAGGGGTCCTTGGGTCTTCTAGAATGTCCTTAGCTATTTTAAAAATAGGGTGTGTTTGCAGCATCGTTCCCAAGCAGCAGAGTCGGTGCGGGCTGCGGTGCGGGCTGCGGTGCGGGCTGCGGTGCGGGCTGCGGTGCAGGGCTGGGGAGGACAGGGCGCGGGCGGGGCGGGTCTCTGCAGGCCTCGTGGTGTGTCCGCTGCGGCTGCTGCCTGCTGTGCTCTCGTTGCCTGGCAGGTGAGGGACTTGCTGGGTGAACTCACACCAGCTACTCCTAGGGACACACTTTGCGGGGCAGGAGTCCCGCATCTCTGTCGTGCCACACAGGCCTTCCACGTGGTAATTCTGGGAACCACCTCCGTCTCTGTTCAGAGCGTTCCTGACACGGCCATCATGGTGCGGGCTCATCGTTCTGTCACCAGCGAAATCGTCAGAGTCTGTGGAGAGAATTGGGGGCTGAGGATTCCTTGGGGTTTTGAGAACGAGGACGAGACAGGGATTGCACACTGCAGCTTCCAAAAGCACAGTCACCCCGCAGTCTCCGTCTTCTCTGGGGTCTTCACGGTTTCTAGACCAGCACGTGTGTGTGGAACCAGCACAGACTGAGGAGGTCATGTGTGCGTGTGTGTGTGTGGGTGCCCACGCCTTCGCCTGATGCCCTCTGGCCTCTGTGCCCTGCAGGCCATGGGCGTGTACCTCTATGGGGAGCTGATGGTGAGTGAGGACGCCAGACAGCAGCAGCTCGCGCGCAGGTGCTTCGAGCGGACCAGGGAGCAGATGGATAGGTCCTCAGCCCAGGTGGTGGCCGACATGTTATTTTAATGAGGTGATTCTCTCCCTTTCTTTTTCTGTCATTTAGTTCTAACCAGATACTCCCTTAGGAGCCAGCTACATAAATCAGCCGAATAGTTAGCCAAGAGCACCCATAGCATCAGTACTTGGCTCCCTGGCCGGGGGCCTGGAGAGTAACTGGCCAAGTGGGTGCTGGGCTGGTGCGGGAGCCCGGGGTCCCCGGAGCACCTCGTCTGACTGGGGCGGTCACCGGGAGGCAGAGGCCGTCCACCGGGAGGCACAGTGGCGCTCCTTGGCCTTGTTTTGGCCACTTCAGGTTTTAAAATCTGTAGGAACAAACATTGTGGGGGAACGTCTTGAGTAGGTTTGGAGATGGAATGGGAAGCCTCGCGGAAGCGCTGGTCCGGTCTTCACGGTCACGGCTCACACAGGCGTTCACGCAGCCTAGTGACTCCAGAGCCTGGCTTCTGCGGGCAGATGTTTTCTTCTAGCCATGTGTGAACTGGAGGCTCCTTGGGCTGTCCACGCCTGGTCATGGGCTGGCGGGAGGCTCTCCAGGCACAGGCACACACAGCACATGCACCACATGCAGCACACACACCACACACAGCGCACGCAGCACACACAGGCATGCACCACACACCACACGCGGCGTATGCACTCCATGACCTGTGTCTTGAGAGCAAGTCCTACTTTTTGCTTTGTTGTGTTGGAGCGGAATTTCTACCGTGGCTTATATTGGAGTGAGTTCTGGATTATTTAAATCACTTTCTCTGTTAATTGTGTCTGGAATTAACCTGTTAGATTTACTTCCTAGAGGTGCTGCTCAGTATGGGTTTCTACACTATTAAAGCAGCCTCACAGTGGTACACCAAGTTTTGCAGGACAACTGTGGGATTTTTTTTTCTCTAACAGTCATTATCATTTCTGTGTCTGCTCCGTTTTGCTTCAGTGTTTTATATGATATTAATAGGGGATGTCTAATTTTGTATCTTTAAAAAAAACTTTATCAAATCTGAAGCATTTTTCATGTTATAGCTTTTCTGTAATTTTTCATGGACATTGAATATTTGGTGTTGATATTCTTCGCTCAGCTTTGAACATCGAGTTTGCTTCTCATGTTTTGTGCTTATGAAAACCATTTCTGTGTAATATGTTTAAGTAGCTTATTTATCTGAAAGAACTCTAATAATGAAAAGAAATAAAAAGTTTTTCCTAAGCATAATCATATTCCAGAAGAGTCAGGAACCACGTGTGCCAGGAAAGGGAAACGGGGGACGAACTACTGAGTGTCGCGTAGCGAAACGCCTGCGGCAGACATGACCTGGCTCCCCTCCAGGACGGGCCGGCGGCACAGACTGCGCACTTACCTCACTGCCGGCCTCCTGTAGTGATCAGTATAAGCAGCGTTTCTCTTTCGTTTTGGTATTTCGTGGCGTTTGTGTGAATGTGTGAAGCTACAAGGCCAGCTAGTCCTGTCGCCCTTCCCGCCGGTCGGGAGCAGCACCGCGGGGCACACCCTTTGCCACTCTTCATGGGGATTTTTTGCCCAAGCAGGCAAAGGAGTCACCTTGGTCACGAGTCTCCCCTTTCCCCCTCCCCGACATCTTTGTTCCTGTCCCCACCCTCCAGATGAATCCCGGGGTTGCCAGCCTCCCTCCCAGCCAGTTCCTGTGAGGCACAGTGGCCGGGGTTGCTCCCAGGGCCCCTTCCAGCAAGCGGACTCCTGGCCTGAGAGTCCCCACAGGCTTCCCAGGGCAGCTAGAATCTGCCTGGAGAGAAGGGATCTCGTCCCCAGGGTTAGAGGCAGTAAACTAACAGCAAGAACAACTGCCTTTAGCAATTCTGTGTGTCACGTGCTTGGTCCCTGCAGTTTTCATCAGTTCCAAAGCTGCACTGGCATTTTTATGGTCGTCTCGAGTCCCTTTGATTCAAAAAATTATACCTCTAGGATGCCAACTAAATGAACAGCAAACAAACCCCACCTGTTTGCCTGTGTAACAGGCGTGAAGGCGGCAGTGTCGCCGGCGTCCTTCCGCGGAAGCCTGGTGCGCGCAGACGGGGGCACGGGGCGGCGCTGCTCTCAGGTGCTCTGGCTGCTTGGGTTCCTGGCATGCTGATTTGTGACTTAAGATTAAAATCACATTGCCAGGGATTACCACGCAACCACGACCTTGGCTGCTGCTCCAGAAGTTGTGGCCGCACTCGCTGCCGATTGGAGGACAGGTGTATCTCGTAAATCTTCTTTGGAAACAAAAGAAGCCACCAGCTGAGGAAGATGCCCACCGGTCACCGTCCCTGTATTTGTGCCCAGCGATGACCTCTCTAACAAGGTGCAGAGCTTAGCTGATTGGTGAACAGTGATTGGTTTCCGCTTTGTTCACAGTGGCTAAGTTCTGCACCTGAAGAGAAGGTGAGATGGGGACAGTTAAGTTGGAGCCGCTGGGGCAGAGGCTGTTGCTGACGGGCGGACCGCTGCTGCACGGTCAGCGTGGGTGCAGAGCGCGATCCTGGAGGATGAGAGACCACTTGGCCCGAAGGACGCACTATCTCCTGCCGGGAATGCTAGCCGCGCACTCAGTCCTTAAGTCTGTCCACAGAAACACCCACTAATCGGACATCTGTCTGAAAGGTCAAATGTATTGAAAGTTGCAAAAATTATTCTTACAGAAAACTGAAACCAAATGCGTCCCCATCAGTCGAGTGAAACCACGTGGTGGTTCATGCTGTGAGCGGGGCGGGTGGGGCTTTCGGAGGAGCTCCTGTTCTGGGCGCGGTGAAAACTCTCTTGTATTTACAGTCCAGGCCTCCGCATCTCCTGCGCCAGCGGACGGTGCCCACGGAGCTCCCAGCTGAGGCGCTGCTTCTCCGGGCTGTCGATTGGACCCGCCCTCCGGTGCCTACTGAGCTGATATCAGTTCTCATTTTACACACTGGCTCAGTTCAGCAGGAACAGGAGTCGAGCCCTTGAGCAAAAAGCCTTCGTGTCTGTAAGTGCCCGAGGCTCAGGAGAGCTGGGGCTCCCACTCACGGCAGACAGGCCGCGTCCTCCCTGGCCCGGCGGCAGCACGGTGCCAGTCGTCTGTATGTGCTCCTG